TGCTTCTCAAAAGCCCAGATACATCCTGTGTAAAAAGAAAAAATTCTACAACAGAACATATAGCCCCATCACAACTTCATTACAGATGACACGAGTCATTGGCAAATGAAGTTATACACACACGCATATATATATATATATATATCTCTGATAATAAACACATAAGAAATCTATCAATGAGTACCACAGCTAGAAAACAAAAGAAATAAATTCTGAATAACTTTTTTGATTAAAGGGTTGCCTCAGAGTTCAGTTAGTTACATTAACAATAACCAAGTTTATGGAAAAAGTGCACATAACACACCCATGTGACAAAGTTTTATTCTCCCCTATCATCTTCCTTTTGGTTGTCAAACACACAGCTGATTTGATGCATAAACCCACTAGCATTTAAAGAAGAAAAGCAAGAAAAATGTTGCCAGTGAAGCTATACAAGCAAGAAAGAAATGTTGAACCTCATTTACCTGGCTGTGTCACCTCCAACTTCTACCATAAGGCTCAACTTCTGTACCTTTCCAACACTGCAGTTGAAATATAAGTCTCCATAACTTAACCATATGAAGAAGTTGCTTAAATTTGCACCTACTGTCATATTCTAGGAAATCTCATCTTAGACTTGGGACCAATTTTTACATCACCCCAGCTTTTTCTCCCAAGAAACACTCAAATACACTTTGCAGTCCTTATCACACACTAGCAACAGTTTGGTGAAGCTACATTTCCTCCAGCAGACAGGCCTTCATCTGTCACAGAGACATAAAATTGCACATTATCTCCAGTGGATGCAAAAAAGGTAATCCTCATCTGTAGTTACATATGCAAATACATGTAAAACAGTAATGCTTCTGCTCTTCTTTTATTTTGAAACAGTACTGTGCACAAAAGTTACTGTGTCTGGAAAGAAGAACACCAAAGTGATTTTGGAAAATAAAGTCTTTTGCTGACACTAAGGAAATACTTTCTTAAGATAATCCATAGCTAGTCTGAATCTGTGATTTTCTGTTTTTAATATTAATTGGAGGAGATTAAGAATCAATAGAGCATGAGAACCTGTTAATTACAGTGTCTGTACTAAATACAAGCAACGCAAACCATGTTTTGAGACAATGATCTATAATTGCAGATATTGTAAAAACTTTGCAGACTGCCAAAGTGCAACTAATTAAGACTTAGTGATTCTCCACCCTGGGCTGGGTTATACCAGATCCAGATGGGCTCATAAACCAACTTCATTAAATTTGTTACACTCTGGATCATAAGTCTGGCTGAAACAAGGCTGAGAATCAAAGTGAAGTCAAAGCCCAAAATAGTTTGGGATGTGTTGCCCAACACAACACACAGCAAGAGACTTAGAGGATCAACCTAAAGATACTCTAGTCCTAAACTACAAACATTTCAACAGCCTGTGCCTTCTCCAGCAACATGTAACAAATTTAATACCACCAGGTTGGGAAGAGGTTAGTTTATCATCTTGGAAGACCTTTCCAAACCAGAATTTATTTTTTTTAAAAAGTTATATTAGTATAGTGAAACAGGAAGACAAAAAAGGTTTAATTGAGGAGTATTTGTACTTGAGCTGAAGTCAGTAACAATTGGTAAGTTATTTATCATCTAAGAACAAATTTAAAAAAATAAAAAAAATAAAACACATTAGATGCTGTTGTGAAATGAAAGCATCCTGAGAATTTAAGATCATTATAGGTAGAATTCCAACTAAAAAATATTTACAGAGACAAAAAGTTTCCTTTTCTAAGTTTTGGGAGCCAAGTCTGCACTTTAAAAAAAACCCAACAAACCCCAAAACAAACAAACAAAAAACCCCAACAAAACAACAAACCCCTCCACAAACAAAACAAACTATCTAGGTTTCCTGTTCAAGGAAAGAGTATCCCACACACAAATTTACAGCCTCTGAAACACTGCCCAATTAAAAAGTCTTGTAAACTACTTTCTTCAATAACTCAAGGTCATAAGTAACTGCACAATTTGTACCACTCTACCTTTCACTTAAGGGTTCACATTCAGAAAAGCCCATTCATATGATCTGCAAACGTGCAGAAAGCAGAGTCTCACATGAAGCTGCTATTTTATATAGTTAGTTTCTTATATAAAGGTTTGGTGTCTTTCAGGTTGGATGAAAGAAAACGCAGCCCTTAGTCATATGCTAATTTTCCAAAGTTACAGCAAGGATCTTCAGCTAAAAATAGAACAGGTATTTGTGTGTTCCTAGTGCCCTGCCAAACTTCAAAGGGCTTTATTTTCTAAATAGGATAACCATCAGTGGATAGAAATTTACTTTTTTTGTAGTTTGCATTAGTTAGAAGGTAACTTTGAGATGCATTTTAAGTAGCTAACTTCAAAGTATGCAAGATGATACAACAGAGCTGAAAGAAAAATGCTAACCCCTTTATCCTTTAGCATATCTGTATTAAAGAGAAATAAAGTGTTTCTTCCACATGCTACTTTGCCAGCATTTTGTCTCTTCATACCAAGAGGATCCATTTTCATAGCATTGTTAACTTAATTATTCAGAGATACGCCTGCAATCACTAAATTGGGATTCTTACCATACAAAAGAATTCAATACAACTTTGCATCAGTGACATTGTCAGGATTATATAGCTCAATAATTCCACCAATACCCTTCCGTAGCAAATACTCTTCTGTCAGGACATTTGGAAGTATAACCAAGCTGGAATCTGTTTGAAGATTCCAGATATAAGAAAGAAAATGTTATTGCCAGCAATGACTACTTGAGGGAGGGATTCATACATGTGCTCTGTGCACATGTACACACTAATGGACAGACGACGCTACACAGCAATGACTACTTGAGGGAGGGATTCATACGCTCTGAGCACATGTACACACTAATGGACAGACGACACTACGGCCACGAGAGGTAAGATCTCTCTCTTCACGTGCTCCCATTATCCAGCACTCTCTATGGTGTGTACCACACCTGACAGACCACAGGGAGAGGTGTCTCATTAAACCTGAGATGAGCAACACAGTGGGAAGAAAACCTGGAACGTTATCAGATACAGAACAAAACCTAACCCAACAATATCAGATTTACTCAGTGGAGGAGGTATATGTGTAGAGCACGAATGAGAAAAAAAAGAAGAATTTTACATAAAGCATAGGTCAGGAGTTGCAAAGAGATTGACAACCTTCTGGAGGTGAGTCTAGCTGAGACTCCAGTTTGCCCTAAAAAAGGTGAACATGAGCTGCTCCCTATTTTCATAAGCACACATGCCCTCTTTCCCCCACTAAAATTACCAGTGACAAAGCACACTGCAGGATGCCTCCACGTCAGGTGATGTTAATGCTTCATGCTTCATCTATTACATAAAACAACACCACGTTCACATGGAAGTGTGCAAAGCCACTAGCTACAGCATTTCGAGACTGTGTGATAAAAGTACAAGCAGAGAAACCTTACGTCTGTGCAGTTATTTGTCATAAAAAATACAGACAAGCTGTATCATACCTCTCTTCCAATGGACTGTCATGAAAGAAAATGCTTAATTTGTTAAAAATGCCTACAAAGTCAAACCAAACCCATGAGCTAGACAAACAGATCAAGCATATGTTCCAAAATTCAAAAAAGCATGTTATACAAGATAAGCTACGTGCCAAAGCTGTACATGGAGATCTAAATCAGTAAATATGGTATTAAAAGTGTAGACACTTAGACTCAAAGGTGACCTAACTACTACATTATCCCAAGACAACCAAACAAACATTCAACAAAAACACACCCAGATTTCTTCAGAACAAAAAAAAAAGAGCAGAGATGTTTTTCTACTTTGGATTTTCCCAAGTAATTAAGTTTGGAACACTGTATCCCTTATGAGTTTTCATTAAGTCCAAATGAAGATTCTATTTGCAAGTTCTCCTCAAAATGCTCTACACTCCTAAAAGATTATTCAACGCTAACTGATAAACACCCCAGAAAAACATTCTGTAGCTATTTTCTTTACATGTGTATGTGACAGAGTTTTTCTTTATATGTGTAAGACTTTACAGTCTTTACTGTTACCCTACCCATGTGAGGTCTCATTACAACAAGCCCAGGATGTGTATGTATCAATCAATCCTTCCCTTTGAAGGAAGGATATCACCTTTACAACCACCATGGGATGTGCACTGCAAGAACTCTGAAGCTTTTATGAAAATAAAACGAAGTCTGAAGGGAAAACTTACTGTGATTTTAAATTTACAAAGTAATAGCTTGAGAAAGTCTTGGACATTTTCTGTAATTTTCTGCAGCCATTTACCATGATCTCTTATAGAATCACAGAGTGTTGTGAGCTGCAAGGGACCCACAAGGATCATCGAGTCCAACTCCTGTCCCTGCACAGGACAAGCCCAAGATTCAGACCATGTCCCTGAGGGCACATGGTGGCCAAATGCTGCTGGAATCTTGTCAGGCTTGGTGCCAGGAACACCTCCCTGGGGAGCCTGGTCCAGTGCTCCACCACCCTCTGCCTCAAGAACCTTTTCCTCATGGCCAACCTCACCCTCCCCTGACACATCTTCCTGCCATTCCCTCTGCTCCTGGCATTCGTTGGTGGCCAGAGAGAAGAGATCAGCGCCTGCCCCTCCTCTTCCCCTTGGGAGGAAGTTCTAGACCCCCATGAGATCTCCTCTCAGTCTCCTCTTCTCCAGGCTGAACAAACCAAGTGACTTCAGCCTCTTACCACTGTTGAAACAATTACTCCAAGAATATGAGTACTTAGATCTCTGTTGCTTTCTAAATTAATAGTAACTGGATTATTCAACACAAATCATTAGCTGCTGTAAAACTTCCATAAATTCCAAGCTGATACTCAGTTGTAGCATGCACCAGAGCATAAAGCCTGCTTTTCTTTCATCACAGCAGTTTTATTATTCATGTTCTAGTAAAAGGCTTTATGCCTAAGTGAGCACACAAAGCTCTGGTATCAAACACTGAGAAGTATGAAAAAAATATCAGATTGACACAACATTCTTACTTTTAGCAGTTCAAAATAATGAAGACAGTGGTAAACAGGGGCAAGGAGCAGCCGGGGTAGAACATACTGAACAGCTTCTTTAAAGCCTTCACCTATTGACTAGAAACAAAATAAGTTTCAGTCTTAAAACAATAAATGTATCGAAGCAACAATATAATGTAATTAAAACAGTAATATTAATAATAAGGCTTACTTAAAAGAAAGTTACCTGTAAATAAAATGCTGCTCCTGGCTTTGATAATTGACTTAGAAAATGATCATGAAAACCAGGTCGCAAAATATCTTGTGCATATGATTCGTACGGATCAAACGCTAGTTCCTAAGAAGAAATACAGAAGAATTTTACAAAATTGACTTAATACCTAAAGTTCATTTTTCTTAAAGAAAATACATACGCTACATAGGAGAGACTTTTCTGCATATTTTTTCCAAAACACCTACAGAGAAGAATTAATACTTCTACATGCTCATGGAGTAACTCAGTCCAGAAGAGATCTCTGGGGGTCAAGTGGTCCAATTCAAAGTTCAAAGCAGGGCCCACCTCAAGGCCAAAGCCAGATCCAGTGTCAAAGCTAGCTGAGTTTGGTCAGGGTCTCATCCAGTTAAGTGCTGAGTACCTCCAAGAACAGAGGCACCAAAACCTCTCTGGGCAGCCTATTCCAATGTTCACCTGTTCTCACTGCACATTTTCCCCTCCTCAGTATCTAATCAGAGTCACCCTTTTTACCACTGGCGTGCTCTCTCTCATCTCACCTTATGGTCCTCTACTGTGAACCCCCAGCAAGAGCCTGCCTCAGTCTTTTCTACACCTTCCCTTCAGGAAACTGAAGACAACAATAAGATGATCTTCCTCAGACTTCTCTTTTTAAGACTGAATAAACTCAGCACTCTTAACCCTCTTTGTACATCATGAGCCTCAACTTCTTAACTACCTCCTTTGGTGGCCTCCTCCTTTGATCCTTAAGCATTCAACCAGTTCATCATTCATTCTGTAACAAAGCTCCATGTATTTGAGCTGATCTTTTGTTAAGCGTCCTGGCCTCATCTTCCCCAACTGTCCTTCTAGAGTGATCATATTCATTCATATACAGCCCTCCATCATGCAACCCTTCCTGCCATGGTGCTAATTCCAGTCCCATGGCAGCTCTGCAACTGGTGAGACTCCCAGATCCTCCTATCTGTACATGAGCACATGCACTCTGGGGAAACAGACACTTCAGATGAGCCTTAGGTCATCCCACTTTCTCACGGTGAAGGTGCAAGAGCCTTTGTTGTCATGCTTTCCATTATGCACATCTCCTTCTCCCCTCAGTTCTTCAGTCTGCAAGCTTTGGTCTCCATCCACCAACAAGCCTAGTTCAAAAGCCTTCCTCATCTTAGCAAGCCTGTTGGCAAAAAAGCCCTTGTTCCACTCTGTCTTTCCACAGCAATCCTGATCTACAGTCGATGCACAGGATACCCCCATTTCTGCTGAAGTCCAGTCACAGGTGTGTGGGTTTTTATTTTTTCCCTGTGCTCTCTAAAGTTTAAACAGCCCTATAAAAACTGAGGTTTAGAGCACTCAAAAACAGGCAGTCTATTCATCATGGTGGGCCTGGAAGAAGGGATCTCAACCTAAACAAAGGCAACTAGAAGAGAGATGCACTTAGGAAGTGCAATAGATATGAAGAGCAAAAAAACCCTCAAGTATTCTTACCTCTGCCATGTCTTCAAAACAGCTGCCTACTAGTGGATGAGGACTACCTTCATCTGTCATTTCAACAGTGTCTTCTATATGACCCAATAACTTCACACTAAGTTCATGAATGTCCGATATACGACTAAATATATTTTCCACATCCTGCAAAAAGCAACAGAACCAGACAAAAATCAACAGGGAAATGGACACAATTCCTAAGAGGAAGAATGTTACCTGCAAAGCTACTCTTTAATGATACGAAAGTCAAGCGCTTCCTTAAACAGAAAAGGATTTTATAATGTATTTTATAATATATTTTCTGTATAATTTATACAAGGTTACAGAATTTATTTTTTAAATAATTACTATGTATAAATATATTAAAATTTATAATTATTAAAACGTGGCAAAGAACATAAGCAATAAATCTTAAGTTACAGGCCTGCAAGTGAATTTAGCAAACTGAGTGG